TGAAATTGAATATTCTTTACTGAGGTTCAGATAATTGTTTAATTTACATTTTGTCAATTTGATATTCAGTGCTGGACTCACTGGTGGACCCTCTTCAAAAGACTATTAATTTTAAGCCAAAGCAAAATGCTGTCAAACAGGAAGTTGATCGTAATGAAGATATGATCCGCAGTGCTCTGCGTGCAATTGCATCCTTAAATCGAATAAGGTTTGGCTTTTCTATACTTAATCTCCTCAATGGAATGGAGTGCTGGTTTTTTCCCTTCTTCTCGGATTCGATTAGGTTATTGAGTTTATTTATTCATTTTTAAACTGCCCCTGTCCACATTGTGTGTGTAATGGCTGTACCTGGCTGGGGGGGGGGGGGGGGGGGTTCTTCTTAAGTCCGATAATAAAAGCATAACAAGAAGCGGAGCAATGATTATCCGAAGATAATTTGATGGCCATATGATTGTAAGAGGGATCAATAATTTTGTTGAGCTGAATGAATGGTAATTTTGTTAATATGCAGTGGGGGAGATTGCAGCTTGAAGTTCAAGAACCTGATGAGTGAAATTTCTAAATCCCCAACATTATGGGATAAGTATTACTCCATCCGGAATGAGTGAGATGATCTCAAAACAGGGGAATATTTTGTTGTGATAGCGGCAAAGCCTGCAAGAACAGACGAGAGAGCGCAAATGACAATGGGGGTGTTAAATTTTGTATAGCCCTTTTAAAAAAGAAAAAAAATAATAATAAAAGTGGATGTACGAGGGCTGAAAAGTTTTTTAAATTTTGATTGGAGACAGATATTATTGGGTATGGGTTTCGTTCATGTATAGGTTCAAAAGTGCCATTTATCTTTTTATCTATCTCCTTATATTATATCCTTTTTTACTCTCATCCGTTTTTAATCCCATTATTAAGCGAAATGAAAGAGACAATCAGCACCATCTACTTCCAAATTATTAACAGAAAGACAGAATAAGGGAGAGCTGCGGTCGCTTCAAAATTCGATTTTCGAAAGGATAGCATTCTATCGGATTTATTTTGAAAATCCAAAATTTGATCTGACTTCATTTGAGATAATCAATCGAATCTAAATAAGATAATTAAAATAATTGAAACCAATTTAGGTTTATCGGTTTGTTCGGTTTTAATTATTTTAAAAACTATAATTTATATATTATATAAAATAAATAGTAAGTTTATAAATATGATTTTAAAATATTATGAAAATTATATTATAATTTATGATATACATAAAAATGTATTTATTTATAAATTAATAAGATTAATTTGGTTTATTTAATTATTAATTTTAAGAAACGATAATTGATTATCTAATTATTAATTTTAAAGAACGATAATTGATTGAATTAATTAAATAAATTATTTTTCTTTATTGATCAATAATAAAATCAAATAAATCAAATCGAGTTAATATATTTAAATGATTTTTAATTAGGTTGCAAGTTGCAACCTATTAATGCTCTTGACCTCGAGGGTTTATCGTTGTGGTTCAATATATTTGCAAAAATCATGTTTTAACTCAACCTTAAACCTGTCTCGCCAATGCAGTTTCTGTTTTAAAGTTGATTATCATTTGATACTGGATTTTCCATACTCAAAACTGAATTCAACCCTCTACAGTTTCCTTGTCATCCACTTGATTGCTAAGCTTGCGAATACATGAGAAAAATATGGACTTTAACTAAAATTCTTCTAATTTATGTACAAGTAAATAGTTGGGGCATTCTTACCATTGCCGCAACATTTTTTTGGCTGGTTTTACCATTGTTTGAAGTAAATAGAGTAACAATTATTTCTTGTTGAGAAAAATAAAATAAAATAAAATTTAAATATATTAAATGTCATATTTTTATAATTACTTAAATTAATTAGATTAATCTCTGAATTTGTTGCAATGTCTTACTTTGATAAACATCCAATTTTGGAATTTCACAGTTTTAAATTGCCCAATTCCTGCCATACATTTCTAATTTGCAATTGTTTTATCCTTTTTAACTATCATTCTATCAAATATTTTTCTTGATAATTCAGCAATGCATGACTTAAGATTGCAAGAGTAAAGCCTCTTGTGCTTGAATAAAAGGGAACTTCTACAATATTGCAAGAAAAATTCAGATTACTCGTTTAGCAATGATAAATACACAAAAAAGCACGTACGAAGAACTAGTATATGCCCTTTTTTCTTTTTTTTGGTACAAGACTACTGGCTCAAACATAAAATTTCAATAGAATCACCCTAGCTCTACCACTTGATCTAATGCCAAAGTAACCAAAATATACTTTACACATTTTTCTTTTTACTATAATAGTATTCACAAGCTCTGGATGAATCGCCCAACTCTCCCAACAACTAGGGCCTCTGCTATCTTCTTTTTTCTACCGTAACATTACCAGCCAACCTTAAACATCTTCAAGCACTCTGTCATTGCATTTCAAAAAGGAAAAGCGAAAGTTACATACATCAAGAAATCATCCTTAAATCTTACTTTTGTTCTTTGCAGTGAAGTATTAAATAAAAGTACAACATAGGCACGACTTGATTATAACTTTAGAGCATACTATGAATTTTCTCTTCCTCCATTTTTTAGAAGCATAACTGTTTCAGATAATGCAGATTGAAATCCTTCAGCTTAACAAATGGACTCTACACAGCATACACATAAACTAACACAATTCTAACGGGCTTCACTGACACCTTTTAAAATGGAGAGCATTTTACTTATAATTTTTTTTACAATGCTACAATTATCCAACAATAATAAAAAAATTATGTAAAAATTCACCATTTATAATTGTGGATTCCATACAAAATTTTGATGGACCTCACATAATTTTAAATTATAATTGGTTAAATATGCTCTTGTTAGAATGTATTATATTCCATGTGTCGCGCATGGTGTACGTATTTCCTGGATACCTCGACCTATCCAATCTCTAAGGTGACTATTTAGAAGAGATTTAGGGTTTGCCCAACAATAGAAAAAAGTGCATGGAGAAAGATGGATCGAATGGAGAGAAGAAATTGAATTTGCACTTTAGTTGGAGAGAAATTGAGAAAATAAAATAGGACTGATTTCTACTTTACATCCATAATAACAAAACTCAATCATTTCAAATTGCAAAGGTTAGGAGAGCAAAAATGAAAAAGATGCAAGTTGCGAGTTCAGTCATGCAAATTTACAGGACATCTTTCTCTTAATAATGATAAAGGTGGCATGCGAACAAGTTAGGTTGGATTTGGACCGAATCACTTAGTGTTAGGTCATTTTGGGTTGAGGAAAATTTAGGCATATAGTTCAATATGATTCAATTCACTACAAAAAAGATATTATCCATATGGAGAATTGATGTTATCATAAATGATAGTGTTTTTAGGAATATCCAAAGGAATTGATACATATCGTGCCATACATACGATACACTTCAATACATTTGCGGTGAATTTAGGCTAAATCTAATTAAAATCTGAACCGAACCAATTACCTAAAAATGTAATTTCAATAGTTTTGACCCAAAAATATGAATATATTTTATAAATTTTTTGACACTTCAATAATATAATATGAAAATTTTAAACTTTTAATTAGTACATTATCATGAAAATACAAGAAAATTTTTACTTAAAATTATATACTATTAATGAGTTTGTTGAGAGTCTGAAAAATAATTATATTTTTTATTTATGCCACATAATCACTTATATATAATATATTTTTATTTATTTTAATGTATATATGTTATTTATAATTAATTTTAAATTGTTTATTATAGCTTACGATACAATAAGATAACTCTATTCTCAAAAATAAGATTTTGATTCATGATACATATCCCAATTTAACAATTATAGATTTGGATCATTTTTGGGTTCGAGCCATTTCAAGTTCAGGTTGTTTTGGTTCGTGTCTTATTACTTCAGGTCCAACTCATTTTGAGTTCAAGTAATTTCATATTCGAGTGATTTGAATTTAAAACTTGGGTTATTCGAGTTCGAATCATCTCAAATTCCATTTATTAGCTTTTAAAGTCAAAACAAATTGGATCTTAAATGAATTTTTATCCAAAAGTTAGTTTTTATAATCTGTAATTAATTCATTCAAAGTAATATTTGCATCAATTTGTAGCATATCTTCATTTTTAATTTTTGATACCATAAAAATTGTTTATAATTTACAAATGTGAAAAAGAAGAAAAACAAAAAACTTTAATTTATGATGTATAATTGTAAAAAATGACTTTAGTTAAAATAATAGAAAACATTTATTTTTCACTATTTTTTACTCATAACTAAGGAAGATAATCTCCAAAAGTTTATAAAAGTATAAAATAAAAAGAGATTTTAAAAAATAATTTAAAGTCATTAAATATAAATGACTGCTAATTTATGTTATATTTATTATTTTCTTAATTAAAATTATCCCCTTATTTAAATTTGAGTTGTTTTATATCAATCTTTTGAATTATTAGGATTCGAATCATTCAGGTCTAGATTAATTTGGGTTCGATTTATTTTTGTTCAAATTGTTTTCGGGTGAAGATTCTGTTGACCTTTTTTGTCAAATCAGGTTTTATCGGGTTCAAACAGGTTGGGTGAGTTTTTCAAGTTTGAGTAAATTTTTATAGCTCCAACAAAAGATATACAGGTAAACTAATGTAAATTTCATTTTCTTCCATTTTTATATAGGAAAAAGTAATTTCTCCTTACATCCGTTTGATCATCTTTTCCACTGAGCGCAATAATGGAAAGGAAATAAATATTCACTGCTTTCACATTTTTGCCTCTTCCATCTTTCCATCCTATCAGATTTCCATCTTTTATACCAAACAAAAGCCTCAAGTTTGAGTTGATTAAATGAGACGAGCAGTAACACATCAACCAATTGTTTTGCATTAATGATGCAACTGTATCACCATGAAGTAGGCATGGAAGAGACTTATCCTAAGCCCAAATGGCCTGGATTTGAACACAATATCCTGCATCACAGCACCTATTTTGCTCAGACTTAGCCACTTAGGTACAAACGTTGGGTGTTAGTGTTGACTTGTCAAACAAAGGTATATTGAACTTAGTGTAGGCCTTTTATTTAGGTTACATTGGGGAACTTGAATTTGAAATGAGTGGTTTGGATTTCAAATTAGTATAAAAGTGGGTGTTATAACTCATGAAAACAAGAATTTTTTATTATTTTCTAATTCATGGATTTGCTAGATTTCCATCTAGTAGTGGATTTAAAAAACCTTAATGATTTAGGGAATTTGATATACCATTTCAAAAACATAGCTATATTGAATCAAAACTAGTTGTTCAATAATGTTTACCTTAATCCTTCACAATCCATATAACCCGAATCCAAATCTATCCTCCCAAATCCATGTTCTCAAGAATATCTTATTCATGGCCACTTTTAAGAATTGATCTATAGGTTTTGAACATAAGCATAGAAGGAATAAAATGATGGAACAAGCTAAGATTCATGGAGCATAGGCATGATGATGAATCACCTACGTTTAGAGCACTTGGACCATAATAATAATAAATGATAAACTTACTGCACAAACCCTAAACCTGCATACTAAAGATGAAAAGAAATTTTCTTGTAACATTGTTACTAATGCTTAACAGTCTTATGGTGCCTCTAAAGAGGCACAGGCCTTTGCATATAGAATGGGTTCAAGTGATAAGGGACCAGAGGAAGTGTCAACACCATCATACTTTAAGTACCATGCATGAATCCCATTAGTAATAATACAACCAAGATTCTTGTTGTTCAGGAGACATCATGTGATGCCTACCCGGGATTTTGTTAAATGAGATGAGACTCTCATACTCAAGGGTCAGACTCCCTTTGCAGTCTCTTGATTGGTTAACTATCAGTCTCTCACCTTGTATTTTGTTTTTAGCTTTTCTAGTACTCTTCAATAAAAGAAGCTAAAACACCAAGAAACATATGATATTGAAAATTGCTTAACTCCGTGTTCAGAATTATTGTTCTCTTACAAGTTACAACACCTCATCATATCATGTTTCTCTCCACAAGAAGCCTTCTGTGAAAAATTAACCATCTCAAATCCTGGCAGGTATTACTTACCGGATTCATATGTTGCAACATGATCATAGATTGTCTAAGGACAAGATAAATAATAATAAAAAGATGCTTGAGGTTAGACATCAATTATGAAGAGATGCATCAGGAAAACTTACCACAATATCCTTCCAGGTTCTTATTGAAAGAAAGTGATCGAGTTCACCATCAGCATAAAGAATTTTAGCTCCACGTCCTGTTTCATCCACTGACCCAACAGCTTCTTCATCAACCAAAACTGCATTCACACTATGTGATTCCATCTTGGTGTCTGGAATCTGTTCAAAATATATGAAGCATCCATGCAAAAAATAAACAACCTTCTTTGAAATTTATTACTTCTATAAATGAAAAGTAAATACCAATTCTTTGCAACTAAAACTATGTTTTTAAATTTAGAGTATAGCGTCCATGAGCACATTTTTTCAGGTGAAAGAAGAGAGAGCCCCCATCTTGTACTGTGGCTATAGGGAAAAAAAAAAAAAAAAGGCATTGCGAACAAGCATCTAAAGAAACCAGCTTTGCATCATGTTATAATGATGGAGAATGATACAAGAAACCATTTTCCAGACGTACCTCAAACATGGCTTCAGTAAGAATGATTTCCAGTATGGCTCTTAAACCTCGAGCACCAGTGTTCTTAGCCATTGCCTTCTTTGAAATCAATCTCAATGCATTTTCAGTAAAATGTAATTTGACCTGAAAAGCCAAACTGAAACAAGTTATCACAAGGCAATCAACAAATGAAATGCTCAAGTCCTTTTTTGGAAGACCTAAAAAACAACAAAAAAGAAGAAAAGGGTGAACAGAAATAGGTAGAAAAGTTTCTTGGCCAACAATATAATAGGATAGAAAACTTACACCATTCATGCTGAACATTTTTTTGTACTGCTTACCAAGAGCATTTTTTGGCTTCATGAGGACCTGTTTATGAATTAAAAGTCATATTTTGTCAATCTTTCTTAAACCATATATAAAGTGTCTAAAACTGAGAATTCATTTTGAACTTCTAAACATCAACTTATAATACAACATCACAGGTAAAGACCCTTTCCAGTACAATATCCTTGTCAAGGCCCTAGCACAAAATACACACATCAAGAAAAAATAGAACACACCTCAACAAGTTGGTCCTCATCTAAAGCTGACAAGCCTACTAGAATAGGAAAGCGCCCAATGAATTCAGGAATCAATCCATATGCAATAAGATCATCACTTTCAACCTGCAGGTTAATAATCAAGCATGTGGTTAGTTTTCCAATATAGTTTGGAGTAAATTTTTAAGAGAAATATAGAATGAAGCCAGAATTTCACTCCAAACAAATATGAAAAGGCAGTGGAAAAATATACACTTCCCCTAGCCATATTGAGATTTGATTCTCACAGATTCCAACAATGATGATGTAACTGCAGCAGTAGTCAAGCCACTACTCCTCATATTTGCACGGACAGGTGCTCCAAAGCCGATAGAAGAATCATGGCGTCTGAGAAAAGAAAAACATAGCCAAAAGCACAATTTAACAAACTTCGCCATGAGTACAAGACATTAATTGATGGGATTACCTTTCTGAAATGGTTTTCTCCAAATCAATAAATGCCCCACCACATATGAAAAGTATATCTTTTGTATCTACCTGCAGCATTACAAGGTCGCCGAATATAGGCACCCCCCCCCCAAAAAAAAAAAAAAAAAAACCAAAACAAAAAAGAGAAAAAAATCAGCGAAAAGTAATCAATAAACTCAATGTGAATAAAAAGAATCAATAGTCTCAGATTCTTATTCTTATTCTTATATTATTTTCTGATATGTTCCACATAGCTAATAATTAATTGACAACAATCCAAGATGGTTAAATTTTACCCATGCCATATCAAATGATAGGCCATTTAAATAGATGCAATCAGTAAATTGAATGCAGAATACCTTTCTCCCATAACACTTATATTGAGTTTGGGAATTTAAATTTGGATTATAAAATTTTTTATTTTGAATTCATGAATTTTGAAATCCTTTGTTAGGATGAATTTTTTAATCAAATCGGACATCTTAAACTTTGGGGAAGGAAGAGAGCTGTAATTGGGTTGAATTAGACAAAACCTATCTCAAGAAGTAATTTGGAATCCGAATTTGAACCTTTTAAATTCCTAGTTGATTTTACCCAAATTCAAATCTAACTATTTAAAACCATTTCAAATCAATGTATTGGATTTTAAATCCAAATTAAAATCCTACCCCACAAATATAAGTTCCATAATGGACCATTAAGAAATAATTTTTGCAATTCTTGGCCCTGGTTTACAATTGATAAGTCACTTAGCTCTTCGAGGGATAAAATTTCCTAGCTTCTTGATACTAACATTGTTAAGTATTTAACCTAAAACCAATTGACCGATGTAAGATAGATGCTATTTAGGGTTTATGGCAATTTTCTTATTTGAGTTCCGAAAAATTTTGGGAAAATTGAGAAAGAGAGAGATACACCTGAAAGCTGTCACCATGAGGATACCTTCGAGCTCCTTTATCAGGAACAGGAACATTCACTATCTGACAACAAAATATACATCATTTTAGATGGTCAAAATAGGAGATTCTTAATCACAAAAAATTTGAGCTTTTATTTCTTTTCTCTTTACTACCATAGGCAGATGTATGCAAAATGTATTTAGTAGAAGAACTAGGCATTTTCATGTTTGGGTTGCTTAAGGTTTGGATCATATTGGGTAAGGTCATTTTGGATTTGAGTCATTTCAGGTATGAGTCATTTTAGGTTCAAGTCATTTCAAGTTTCAAATCAATTTGGTTTAGGTTGTTGGTTTTTTTTTTTTTAATTAATTTAAATTGAGTATTGTTTAGGTCATTTCTAAGGTAATCTATATTATGTTTATCAGTTTTTAATTAAATTGAAATTTAAAATAGGAAAATATATATTTTTCTTTGAACAGAATATACATCATCTTAGGTAGTCAAATAGGAGATTGTTAATTACAGAAAATAGAGCTCTCATTTTTTTTTTCTTTTAACACCATAGTGCATATGGTTTACTCTAGAATGCCAAAAGGAAAGGTAAACACATTAATAACTTTACATCTTCAACTTAGCATGTAATTTTATTTTATTAAGATATCATTGTATGTAATGGGGTAACAACCTAAACTGCATCAAGTTGGCTTTAACCTACTTCAAAAGTTAAGGTTCAAGGTTCAAATCCCTTTTTCCCTTTCTGGAAACAATTGTGCCAAAACAATGATATAGCCGTTTAGCAGGGGACTGGATCCCAAGCTTATCATATTTGAAAATTACTATTGGACACAAATAATTCAGATATGTTTAAAGGAACATGACTAAAATATGCTAGATTCAGACAACATTACCCAATGGTAAATACAGCTTCACCCTTGTATTCCCAAATGCTTTTAAATAATGCAACATGGAATTTGACTGAATATTTAGGTGTCATTTGGTAATGTTGCCAGTTTTTTGTTTTGTACTTAAAAACTTTTTTTTTGTTTGTTATAAGATTTTAACAACAAAACAAGGAAAGGTAGTTGAAGCATGAACCATTGCTAGTTGTTCAAGTGGTCTGTGGTTCAAGTGTCTTCACCTGCAAATTTTCCTAATATTTCCAATATTTTAAGGAAATATATATATATATATATATTTATATTTATATGTAAGCACTGTTCATACATTTCACCTGTGCATGGATAGTGCCAAAAACAATTACAAAATGTAAAGCAAGAAACTTATAATGACAACAATTTTTGAGACTTCCTTTTTCAGGTTTTTGAAAATAAAAATATTATTACCAGACATTTTACTTGTAAAAAAAAACTTTGTTATTTTAGTTTATTAGTTTCCGAAAGAATAGGGTAAAACAAAGATACCAAACAGACATGTAAAATCCATTTGCCGCCCTGAAGAAACATGTATAAATAGCTCGTACATATATCCAATGAAGAATACTCCCAGCCTTAATATCACTTTCTTTGCCAATAGTTTACATAACTATTTACCAACAATAAATAGAAAGTTCAAAAATCTATGTTACTTAGACCACATATTTAAGGACATTTTCACAAAGATCATAGCTTACGCTAGCACCTGGAGGCACCGATCAGATGCACAATATTTCACAAACTCCATGTGTAAAGTGATTAGTGAGAGAGTAATGAGAGCCAAAGCTAAATCAATTGTGGTAAGCAATAAGCAACCATATGTGTACTGACAATACCAATGAAAAAATGATCACTCACTGTTCCTTCCAGCATTTTTAGCAATGCTTGTTGAACACCCTCTCCAGATACATCTCTGCCAATATTCGAACTCTCAGCCTGAAGAAAAATCAATATAAGCTATCAAATTTGGGTATTTAGTATTCAATATGCCAGGTTCACTTATTAACAACACAAAAATACCTTCTTGGTTATCTTATCAACTTCATCAATATATACAATCCCATGCTGAGCTGCTTCAACATCAAACTTGGCTTCCTGTACAACAAGAAAATCTCAAGCAGTTGTAACACTTAATATAAGCTGAGAATGGATGTGCAAAGATATGGCAGAAAATTTCAGAAGCTTAAAACCCAAAATACAGGTTGAGCTTCAAGATCACAAAAAAAGCAGCAATTGCTTAATTAGAGAAGTATAACATTTCTGTAAGCCAAATAGAATATGGGTCAATAATACACCTCTGCATTAGTTTGTAACTTTTGTATGCCACTTTTGGCTAATCAGGTTTTTCACATTTATGCCTTCAAGGATTTATAATGAATAATTAGAAATAACAGAAGAAAGCAAAATAGATGGGAGCTGGAAGAAGTGCTGTGTGATAGTCTATATGTGTGCACTATATATATATATATATACACACACACACATGAAAATTATCCTAAGATTAGGAAAAATTAATTGTTACGAACATGAAAGGTGAACCATACCGCAAGTAGCTTATACAATATTGATTCTACATCTTCTCCAACATAACCTGCCTGGAGATGAAAAGTAAAATTATAAGCAGATGTCAAGAGCTCAACTAAGCAGCAAAAACAGGCTGCTATCCATGAAGACAATTTACTAAATAAGAAACAAAAACAGCTGAGTTTCATTACACTTCACTGAATAAGCAACGCAAAAAGATCTACAATCAAGCCAACTTTTATATAAACTTTTGTCTCATGGTTCCCCTTTAGAGTACAACACATCAAAGAGGATAGGAAAAAAGCGCTAAAATACTAAAGGAGCCCCTGAACGTTCTAATTTTTTCTAAGAAAGCCCCTGTGCTTTTATTGTACCAAAACAAGCTCTTAACCTTCAATTTGTACCCAAATAAGCTCTTATTCCAAATGAAAGGTCTAGAAATCAATGCTAGTTGCTCCGCATGAAACACGATGTGATCTGATGATATGGTTGAAAATTGAAAAAAAAATATTGAAAAATAAAAAATAATTTAGATAAAAATTAAAGGTTAAGGGCTTATTTAGGTAAAAATTAAAGTTAGGGGCTTATTTAGGTATAAATTAAATATTAAAGGCTTATTTGGCTGCAATGAAAGTATATGGGCTTACCTAGGAAAAGTGGTAAAGTTCAGGGATTTTTTTGTCATTTTAGCCAAAAAATACCTTTAAGAAACTGGGTTCCATCATAATATAGAGAAGGATCCACTTCACAACAAGAAATGATAAATTGAGGCAGATTATTCTTCAAAATTAATTTTCCAAGCACCTCTAAATGGGAAAAAATATTTTGACTGGTTGTTAGATTTTAATTCCTAAATGCACACTTTAAATCATGCAAGGTTGTTATTGTTGTACATGCTACAAAGTTGCCTAAAAGGTAATGTCAATCATGTGTAAGCTGAAATTAAGAAAGTCCTCTAGGACTAACTGTTTCTTGAAGAAGTTTCCAGTCATTGACAATACATTTAAAAAAAAGTTTGGCTAAATATGATACATCTCTTAGTGCCTCTTATAAAATGCCAACAATATGATCTCTGAATATGATTTCCAAATAAATTTGGAGTGCATCAGGCATGCATGAACAAAATGAAATATTTGCACCCCCGTGATTTGGTTTTTGTTTAAGAAAATGAGAAATTCATGGCAGCTAATAGGGTTAATTTGACTTGCAAATTCAAAAGTTTGTGCGGTTAGGCATTTAAAAGAAAAATAAGAATGATGCAGATGAGGGAATAGTTAAGACAAAAAGCCAAGGAAAAGTTTAGGAGGCAACACAGGCTGGCCATCAGACAGAAGCAAGTTTGACTGCCTTGATAAGGCACAAAAGTTGAAGCTCTAGAAAGAAGTCACCAAATCCCAGTATATGAATATGTTTCTATACAAGAAAAAACATCTCATATGATTTCACGAATCATTGAGATTGTCACATAAACATTTGATTTCAAAGAACTTGCAATTACAAGATCCACACACATACACACACATAAACAAGAAGAGGGAGAAAGACAGGCTTGTTGTTATTTACTTGGTGATACTCATAAAAGAAAACAGTAAGAGGAATACATAAATTATTATTACCTTATGGATGGGAAATTAGGAAAAGAAAGAAATCAAATATATAAAAAATTTAAGGCTTAATTAGACATAAACAAGAAGACAGGCTTGTTGTTATTTACTTGGTGATACTCATAAAAGAAAACAGTAAGAGGAATACATAAATTATTATTACCTTATGGATGGGAAATTAGGAAAAGAAAGAAATCAAATATATAAAAAATTTAAGGCTTAATTAGACAAGTAACTGCATATAATCAAGGATGTTGAATTCAGATCTGAGGGTTGACTTGCCTGTGTTAAAGTTGTTGCATCAGCAATGACAAATGGTACCTTCACAATGCCTGCTAGTGTCTTCGCGAGTAATGTTTTCCCTGTTCACATAATCAAGGTTTTAAAAGAAAAAAAAAATTATTACAAGCAGCATGGAGTTATTTTGTGCATAAGGAAACAAGACTACCTGAACCAGTGGGACCTATCAACAGCACATTGCTTTTATCCAATTCAACAAAATCATTGGCACCATTTTCATCATTATCACCCGATATACATGACCTAGTTTTGAGATGCAAACATTCAGTCTAAAAACAAACATCAAACAGACATGTATTCTGTTATATGGCACTCACTAATTAAATTAAATTTGTGAGTGAAAAAAGAACTAATATAAACTACTAATTGAGGATTCCAAGGGCACTAAACTGATTAAACATGAAGACCAGAAAACACTAACTCGTTCTGCTGGGAGGAATAATATATCCTTTTGTAGTGGTTGTAAACTGCCACGGATAGGACCTGTATGAGTAGAGCTTCAATAAAACAATGAAAATATGGATGATAGCTTGTTTTGTAAATTTAACAATGCTAGTTCTTTCAAAAAATTTTACCAATTATTATCAAAAAGGTTGTAACAATACTTATAGGCCAAAAAAAGTTACAATGGAAAATATGACATTTTTTATTCTTTAATGGATTAAGAAGACAACATTTAATAAAAGGGTAGAGAGAGTGTTTCAACTTGGGAGGAAGTTTAGGGAATAGCAGGAGGGGAAAGGATACAGCGGAAGAAAAAGGGTATTTTCTTCAAAAAAAAGGAAAATGGAACAAAAATGGTTGGATTTGCAGCACACACACATTGAACCCGAGGCTTAATCCAGTTGGTTCATGCAACTACCTAAAGAGATAACATGTCATTATTAAAAAATAAATAAAAAAGAAATAGCATATCTGAATTCATATTTCAGCACCTGAAATCTTTTTGCTATTCAGGCTGCAACCGACTTCATAAAAAAAATAGCACACATTCAACAAAAAATAATCATTTTATTTACAATTTTATGATTAATTTGTTTCTTTCCTTCCATTTTCCTTCTCTTATACCAAACATAGGGCCAAAACAAAATTTTCTTTTTTTTTCCCTTCCAGTAAAGAAGTTGGCCTCTGTTTCAAGAAATAAAACTTGAAAAACCTTTTGAGATAGTAGTTGATCAAAATTCAGAACAAACTTAACCAGAGTCTGACGAAACCAAACAAAGGGGTCAGCGGTAAAAGCAACGGCTTACCTTCTTTGCCTTTCGTTGGCCGATAACAAACTCATCCAGCCGCCGACAAATCTCCTTCGGCGTGGGCAATTCCCTCTCCAATCTCCCCGCCGCGTCATCTTTGTCCTCATTACTTTCATGATTCAGTTTCACAATTTTCCCCGCCTCTTTCCTCGAAATCCCCTCGGCGTCCCCTCTGATCCTCCCCAGCTCCACGAAGCTCCCCTGCAAGGGAACCAGCTTAAACGGCCGGAAATAGAAGGCCGTTTTACAATTATGGCAGAGGTTGAGAGCCTGATAGAGGCCTGGCTCGCGATCCGTGATGGAGAGTGGCCGGTTAGAGAAAAGCACGGGCATTTGATTGGAGCATCGGGGGCAGTTTACTTCAGCCCTAATGTGGTCGTACTCCGTTCCATCCCATATTTGGCGCGAAATCGACCAGGCTGACGTGAGCCCTAGAGAGGCTTTACGGCAGCGGAGGGCGGGGTGTTTCAGAAGTGAAAGCATGCCGTCGGAGGCTGTTCCTTGTCGTGTGGTTGAATTGAAGTTCAATATGGAAGAAGAGCGTGGGAGTGCTAAATCTACAAATTGAGAAAAAGCCAGGCAAATAGGAAAACCGGATCTGATGCAGTAGTGTTGAGGCGAATAGAAAATCGTGAGCCCAATAGTCTTTTTCCGCCTAATTTTGGCTCCGTGAAAAAAAAATAAATAAATAAATAAATAATTTTTGTATATTTAAATATTTGTTTAGTAAAAATTTAATTGATCAATAAAAAATAATTTATTAATTAATAGAAAATAAGATCAGTTTTTAAATTTTATCTTAAAATTTGTAAAAAGAAGATATTTTCTAAAAAAAATTATTTATGAGTAAAATTATTTATCAATATTTTTAAGTATAATTTTACTTATAAATAATATTACATTAATAAATAAATAATATTATATTAATAAATAACATTATATTATAATATATTAATAAATAATATAATATGAATAAATAATATACTATTAATATAATATATAAATAAATAATATTATATTAATGAATAATATTATATTAGTAAATCATATATAAATAATAATATTATATTAATAAATAATATTATATTAGTAAATCATATATTAATAAATAATATTATAATATATTAATAAATAATACACTATTAATAAATATTATTAATAGATATATATTAATATATTAATAAATAATATAAGGAATAATAAATAGTTTTATTTTTGTATTTTTTATATTAACATAATATTTTAATGTTAAATACTATTATTAAAATATAATTATTTTGAATATTAATAATTTTAATAATAAATAATTTTTAATATTTTAATAGGCATATTAATATTATTTAAAAAAATAGATTTTTCGTAAAACAATCAAACAATAAAAAACATTTTTCATTAACTCATCAAAATAACAAAAAATCTCTTTTAATTTAAAAAATATAAATAATTTTTAAAAATTATTTTTTAAAAGTTATTTTTTACGAAACAAACGAAAACCTTTAATTACTTTTATTTAAATGTGGCTAATATGTTTTGATAAATTTGAATGCAATAGTGGAAAATTCTACTTCAAGTATTTTTTACATAAACAGAAGGAAGAAAAAAAAGCTGCTTTCTTTTTAATGAAAACAAACTAAAAACAAAATAAAGGTAAGTTTTATCATCATATTTTATATTTAATTTGATTTGCATTTTAAAAAATAAAATTATAAGAATGATTAATCATAAATGATAATTCAATCATCTTAACATGGAGAAAATTATTTTTAATTTATGAGTTTTAACTTACATATCCTATTATACATTAAAAAATTATATTAATAATTTAAATTATAAAAGTTTGAATAAAGATAATTTTGATCAATAAATAAAATTATTATATTCTAATCTTTACACATATCAAATATAATATAAGATGACATATTATATTCTAATTCTTACACATATCAAATACAATATAGGATGATATTATTTAATATAATCCTATTCATAATATTATGTCAAGAGAATGATTAATTCTTTTTACAATATTATCATTGTTTTTAGATACAAACCAAACGTGATATAAAATTATTATTATTTTATTCTATTCATCATCATATGCACCAAACATGATATTAGGCTATGTTTGGTACATAAGATGATGGATAAGATAAAATAATAATTATATTATATCATGTTTAGTTTGTATCTAAAAAAAAGATAGGATTACAAGGAAGATTAATTATTCTTTTGACATAAAATGATTCAATCCTCCCAAATAAAAAGTATTATTTTCATAGGATTGAACTTACATTTCCTATTATATCTTTAAAAATCACATTAACAATTTAAATTGTATAACCTTTGTGAAGGGATAATTTTGATTAATAAGTAAAATTATCCTATCCTAATCTTTGCACAAATCAAATACAAGATAGTATGATATTATTTAACTAATCTAATTTATAATATCATCCTATTCTATTCTATCATAATCTTATACACCAAATATATTCTCAAGCCTTTATATTAATCATGTAAACATAATAGTTCAAAATTTCACTATAAATTTTATTGTATTCATATGAATTCAAATAATAAAGGAATTCATTCATAAAAAAAAAAAAAGGTTAACTTCAAAGTCATTAACAAATCTATAACAATAATCTTACTAATATACAACCCATCACATTTTCTCTCCATTATGTCACATGGCGCATTTTCATGCCATTTTTCCTTTTTTTTTGGTTTTTTTGTTTTTTATTCAATTTTTTTAATTTTATAAATATATCCTTATAATTAATTTTACTAATGTATAGATGAACAGTGCCCATCTACAATTATGCTTCATGTCATGTCCTGATTAGCCCATGTTTGAGACCTACTTATATCAAATTTTTTTTGTTTTTGTTTTTTTTTTATATTTTCTAACTTTTTTTCATATTTAAATTTTTAAAAAATATTTTAAAAATATTTTAGATTTAATTTTTTCATAAGACCCACTTGATGCTAATTGAATGTCATGTGTTTATTTTTTTTCTTTTCCCTTTTACCATAATTGGTCAAAATTATTAGGATAAATTACATAAATGGTCATTTTGCTATAGGGTTATTTTAAAATGCTCACTAAAATATTAAAATTTTTAATTTAGTCACTAATGTTTGAATTAGTGTTTTTTTTAGTTAATTTAATGTTAAATTGTAACATCTATCTAACATTGCTTAACCTATTAAATACGGTCAATTCCACATCATACATTTTTTTCACATCACATAAAATTACAACTTTTTTTTATTTGTTCCTTCTTTACATAAATGGTCACTTAGCTATAAGGTTATTTTAAAATGGTCACTTAGCTATAGTGTTATTTTAAAATGGTCACTAAAATATTAAAATTTTTAATTTAGTCACTAATGTTTGAATTAGTGTTTTTTTTTAGTTAATTTAATGTTAAATTGTAACATCTATCTAACATTGCTTAACCTATCAAATACGGTCAATTCCACATCATACATTTTTTTCACTTCACACAAAATTACAACTTTTTTTTTATTTTTTTCCTTCTTATCTATTTTTTTCTTATTCTTTTCTGTTTATTCTTTTTTTTTACTTCTTTTTTTTTTCTTTTCCTCTGGTTAAGGATAGAAAACTCTAATATAATTATTCCTTTTTGTCATTGTGGGTTATTAGCTAATTTGAGCACCTTTTGGTTAAATGACAATTTTGAAAGAAGGTTTATGGATTGCAAGAATTATATGTAATAATCATGTAAGAATTGTGCTTATTGGGCTTTAAAGAAAAGTGAAAACTGTTGATAACCAATGAAGTAAGGAATAAGTATTATGAATTTTGTTATTGGCTTGTTGTTTGATTTTCACTTTCAGTAAGCTCTGATATAATGGTTTAAGGTTGTTTAATGTTTAAAGTTATGTATTATGGGTTTAGGTAATGTTTTAAGTGCATTAGGTATAATGGTATTGAAGGATTATGGGTTTTTTGTGTACTTTATATCAAGTGTTAGTGAATGATAATAGCCACTAGATGGGTTTTAAATAGTGTTTTAGGGCATTAGGTATAATGACAATGATGGATTATTGGTGTTTTCTTGTATCAAGTGATAGAAAATGATAATAGCCACTAGTAGTTCAATTTATTTTTAATGAACTTTGGTTGCAAAAGATTATTTTGTAATGAACTTGGTACCAAAAGGATTATTATTATCAGAAGATCATTTTCTATCAAATGGTAGCTATACTAAGTAATGGTTTAAATTATGTAATGAACTTGGTACTTTAAATTATGTGGCTACTTCAGTAGGTTGTTGTAGTAGATCTATTTAGCTTAGAGAAGCTTTTATTTTGTAACATAGATGGATCCCTTTATAACAAGATTAGACATCTTTAACAAATCATCTTTTATAATGAGCATAAACCTAACTTTAATGAATTTGTAACTTCAACAAACATATAAACTTAACAAATCCAATAAACTAGTAACAGACTCTAAACTCAATATAGAAACAATTAACAAAAACATGATTGTATTGATAATGATAAGGCATTTACATCAGTTAGTAATGCACTTCCAGTGAATATGTAGGACTTGAAACAAATTCTTAAACATTAGTATCATAAACTTTTTATCAACAAAAAGAAACTCTTTAGCAATTAAAAGAAAAAAAAAACCCTCACATCTATAACCTTATAAAAAAAAACTTGTTACCAGTCGAACATACCAATAACAAAAGACATTTCTGGTACATTAATGTCTTAAACTAGCCATGTACACAACATACCCTAAACTAGTCATGGTATAGAAATAAAAAACTCATCTACAAGTTCTTGTTGGTTTTTCATTTCATGGTAGTTAGCTTTATTGGTCCCTTAATAGCGTTATTGTTTTGTTGAATATTGGTTATAGGTAGCTTTCTCTTAGCAACATATTTAACAAAGTACCTCCACTGCATTTGCATTCTTTTTGTTTGGTTTTAGTACTTGTAAGAGTTCAATAGGTTCAAAAAGTCCACTTAATCTAGAGATAAAATTTTGTTGCGATTGAAAAACTAGACTAGAGCCTTATACATTAATGCAGTAAATGACTCAATATTTATGATTTAAGATTTTTTTTAGTGAATGTATGATAGATAAAAAAATTGTTTACATCAGGCATCTACCTAACAATCATTGAAGATGGTTGAACTTGATCTCCAAATCTTTTAGTTTTGATTTGAGCTTACAAAAATACATTAAAAGTATAAGGTTTTAGATTAAATGATCTCAAACATTGTATTATATATTACCTTCGTAGTTACAAGATCCTCAACCTTTTGATTAGTAGTCCCAATAGCTCTCCTAACCTATAAAATGGAAATAATGAATATAAGTTACTATATTTTATCTATTATTATCATTAATGAATAGAAATCAATAAACTAAAACACTCACAGGCAAGTTTGAGATATTTCTTTTACTTGTCTGATATATCCCTTTGCTATATTTAACCTACTATTATCACCAACCTCTCCTCTGCATGTCTTTACATTATGTCCTAGTTTTTCACATTTGCTACAGTTAAGTTTCCTTCCTTTCTTACTGATTTTAAATTGACTTTCACCTGTTTCATTCGTTTCCTTCATCTTATTCTTATGTGGTGTTCCAAATGGCATTTTTATAATAGGTGGCAGTATTGGTTCCA